GAATCTTTTCGATGCGTCGGCACATAGTTGGCACCAGTTTTACCATACCTTAGAGAGTGTTATTGTACAACTTTTTCAAAGAGTCGAGAGTTTAAGAGTTGTCCTCCTATGCACGATTTTTTGCTTAATAACACAAAAATGATATGTCAAATATTTTTTGCCCAACCAACTCAAAGCATGGCTGATGTCTTAACCTCTTAACCTAGAGGTTGGGGATTTATTCGTCGACATAAATTACTTTTGTTTTGCCGCTTAGATACCAAAGTTAAATATTCCGGTATTTAAAGTACTTCTAGTTCTGTGTCGAGTGCGGCTTTCAAATTGAAAAGAAAACGATGTCAGTATTGGACACAGTGTGAATATTTGGTCAATGGTGGATTTTTAAGGTTTAAAGTTGATACTGATAATGTCCAATCAGTGAATTGACAGTTGGGTGGTTACAAATCTTATCTATCTTCTTCTATGTTCAAAAGAATGGTCCTGCAGTATATAACACACTTTGTGAGTCCGGATTCGGTTAAGCACATGTAGACTTCCATATTTGGATATGCATTCTTATTTATTAATTAAATAAAAAAGCAGTTTTACTATTTATGTTTGTCAAGTACATTGTTATATGATTATATATTAATATCCATATGCATGACATTTCTTATAGCCCTGATGGCTTTCACACAGAAGCAAATCAGTGGTATCTAGGTTAATATCTGTCTTTACAGGGCACTAGACAGATACCATAGGTCGGCATGGAGCTAGACTTGGCCTACCCTATGATATCTTTTGCAATGCATGTTTACACCAGAACACCTGATGTGTCCATGGCCAGGCTTGGCCAGAACTAGGCTTACGTTTCAGGAAGCCCCCTTCTTCAACACACTCAGCGATGTCTCTAGCATTAGCATTGGTCTGATTCTTGTGTCTATAAATGCCTCTGGCTGGTTCTAGCTTGACCTTCTCTCTACTACCCATTATTACGAGGTTTTGTGGATTCAAAACGGTTTTTTTAGCTAATTGGGGAGAACTCGTTTCTGCCTCCACCACCTCTAACTAACTAGCTAACTGATGCCTTTCATGCAAACATGAAACGTAAAATAAATTTAAAAACAAAGTTAAAGAGCTTAATTAATAGTATTTAAAAAACTTAAAAAATGTATATATTATTGCTTAATTAATTATAATTGGTTTGGCGCATTTTAATTCACCAAGAATTGCATAATTTTGTAGCTATTTTTAATTTATCTGTGTTATGCAAACATATGCACACGATTATACGCACTATTAAGCGTCAACCTGCTCTCCTTGCCAGGCAAACAGCGAAAAAATTATAACAATTAATTCATACATATTTATGACATTTTATTTAATATATTTAATATTTAATATTTATTTATTTATTTATTTAATAATATCATATCACATTGACGTAACATCGCGTTATATGTGCAGGCCTTTATTTGCATACATTAATGCATGAGCGTCCCAGGTACGAATGACAATAATAAACCGTAACTTCTCTGTAAATATGTAAACATGTTAATATATAAGTACACATATAAGCAAATATGTATATATGTCAAGGTGTAATAACAGTAAATTACGCACATGAGTGCAACGCATTAACGCAGGTTCTTTACTATTACCAATTAAATTGTGTACTAAATAAAGTTGACAGGACATACGCGTGCACATGGATGAATTAATGAATTTTTTACACCTGAAATGTTTAATTAACAATAATAGCGAAATATTGATAATTCGGATATTCCCACATGAAAGGATGTGGGAGATTCGCACTACTTAATGGTCAGTTACTCAGAACAGGGAAACAATGCTCAGAACTCTTATTTGAAGCTAAACAAAGTTGACCCATCCAAGCACTTTTCTTCTTAACCCATTGACAGGCGAATGGAAATCATTGCTCTTAGGAATGATAGTGGAAAATCGCTCAAAACTGTTTTGTCTTCCATTTACTCAATATTGCAGCTGTTGATGTGATTATCGTGATTATATTAAGCATTTTTTATAGTCATACCTTAAATTGTACTATGTTCCCGATGAAATTCCGGTTTAAGTTGTCAAATACTAATAATCATAAAATGCCCCATGTACCGATGACCTAAACTTATAATAAATGATACGAACCGTGTTCAGATTTTCATAGAGCGATTATGAGATCCATGACAGTAAAATAAGCGTAAGTATTTTTCTTGGTTTTGGCAGCCAACCCATTCAGACTATAGTTAAATAGTTTTGTTCGGCAACTTCTATGAAAATACTTATCAAAACATATTACTTTCTGGTATTACCTCAGGTTATTTGTATAACTGGAAAACATATTGAGACAGAAGTTCTGGGCAACACTTTAGATGTTCAGAATTAATATTATTATTATCAATTAAATGAGTGATTTTATAAACGTATTAAACGCAAGTGCAGTGGAAGGCTCCGCATAACCAATACGCAGATTATTAATTTAATTTAACAACCGTAACTGGTCCACCCATGTTGAATGCTCCTCTCGCCGGTTCAGGTGCTGTTCATTATTTATTATTTACTTAGCTGTTTACCTTTAATTGGAGAGTTGTTCGTCTCTGGAAGGTTGCGGGTAATATAATATACGTCATTCATATATCTCAGAATAGCTGTTATTTTGCTTTAAATGTTTGGTTTTTCATTCATTACTTTATTGTATCTAGCTGAGCTTCTAATAGATCTACATAATTATCTGTACTAGTATTTGCCTTAACTTAATTTTGTTTTATGTAACAATTTTAAACTTAATATACTCTAAGCAGAAACCTATTCGATTAGAGATTAAGACACCTAATGCAGTTTCACAAGCCATTCAAGAATTGAAGTTCAAGTATTCAAATCAGACATATTTAGTCTTGCTATTACATTTTCTTAGCCATGATATTTCTTTAGTGATCATCGATCAGATAGTACATATGGCATTAATATATCGTACAACATTTTGTAAATACCTATGTCATATTTACTGAACGAATGAAGCACCCTGCGTACTGTTTGTTCAAAAAATGTTTAGTTGTCTTAAAGCAATTGAATTTATTTTCAAACTCATTCATTTTTAAGGTGTAAGGAATATGTTTCTGTTTGTTTCGTTCAATTCCGATGAGACGTTTGGGGTCTAGAAAGCAAACAGTGGAGAAGTCTGTAGTACAAAAGTTTCAATCAATGCTGTGGGCAATTAATAAACTGCAAACATTTTAGTTTTAAAACTTATCAATAAATGTTTTATTATTTTTAAAAATATATATTTCCACATTAATTGTAGTTTGATAACAATTCATTTTGACTGCTGAAACCATTTTCGTCTCATTATTTCTGAAGAACACAAATTTCATGCTTTTCCCAGAAAATATTACTATGTCAGAAAAAAAATTGAAATAAAAACACAATAATAAAAATAAAAAGCCACTTAAGACTTGAATAAGTCAGAAGAATGACCACATAATTTTTATTTTAAAACCTGTGACACACTGCGTTGCCTAGTCGATGAGAAGAGTTCACCGAGAGTTGAGATACGAATAGGAAATGCAATGAATCACAACGAAATTTTCTGCGTAATTTTACAAGAATTTCATTTAAATGAAATATTAAATATGACAAAATTAATACATCAAAATATAAATCATTTGCTATATATGTTTATTAAATATGATGTTAAAAGTATCTTGTCAGTTGTGACGTCACTGTTTTCAAGAAGCACCGTTTGACCGAACTGAATTTGGCTTAGTTAAAGTGTAGATTCATTGGGACTGCCTATGCGGAAAAAAGACTATGATTGTTCAGGTGAATCACAGTTCAACTTGAAATGCGTATGAATCATTTATGGGTTGTAACATTGTAGAGTTACGAGTATATTGCATTTTATAATTTCGCATAAATTTAAGAATAGTGACACGTTCTCTCTCACTCTCACTCCCACTCTCTTTTTCTCTATCTCTGATCAACTAATTTGGACTTTTTGTAAAACTTAATATTTTTAATTTAAAACACACGATGAAGTATTGAATTGTGTTAACCCTTTAGTTTAATAAGTTTATAAAGTATAATTGAGTAATATTTTAGGAATACAAATAGAACTGTTAGAATTTCAAAATTCATAAAAAGCGATTTTTAATTACATTCATTCAATACAATTTGTATAAGATTTTATAATTTTTTGACTTATTTTTAGAGAACCGGACTTGGTAATCGCAAACCACGAACCCCAGCATTATGATTTTTAAACTGTTACGCTAGTGAGTTTATTAGAAAAAACATCTCTATATCCCAATTAAATAAATACATTATAAATTGATGAAAAATTAATAGTTAGTCTTGTTATATATCATACCACTTAAGCTATTGTGGCTCAACATATCCGAAGCGATTCCTGCACATTTGCTTGTCAGTGGAAATGCCAGTGAACACCTATTGTAAATACGATCAATGATTAATAACTGAATTGTTCTGAATTGTTATCTATTAGTTTTAATTATAAATTTTTCTTATTCACAGTTCATTTAAATATTTTCATAATATATTCATAAATAAAAAATATATGTTCCATATGAATATTTCCGGTTCTATTGTAAAATCTCTATCTTTAGAAAATAAAAAAAAATACTTTTTTTTTGTGTGATTCACTAAAGGGTTAACACAGCCGCTGATTAAGTAATGTGTGTTTTGATTTCCTCGCTTTGAGCTAAGCTTGTGTCTGACCTAATAGCCTCTAAGTTTATTTTGCTCAGAGCGTCTGAGTAACTGATTTTGCTTCTCTTCTTCCATTCTGTAACGCTCAGACGACTGAGTACACGCGCTGAATCTTGTGAAGCCGGTCTTTTCATATAAAACTGTTGTTGATAGGGTTTGGGAATTCATTCAAGACAAACGGCATATACAGTTAAGCTGCTACGGAGTATCAGCATTTATTTTAAAAAAGTGAATCAACTAAAAATAATAAATAAATTTTAATAAAATTGATTTATCGAAGTATTTGCCGCATTTATTTTGAATTTGAAGTGAGTAAAAAGGGAGTAGTCAATTTTTTAGACGACCGAGTTCATATACCATAACAATTCAAGTTGTTTGTTTATTTTGAAATTAAAGAAAACTAAAGTAAATTCATATAAAAAACTATTTGTTTATAATTTTTTTTAAATTAATTTTTTCATTTAACAATCTTCACATGAACTTCATCTTAATAACATGTACCATATGTAGTTGTTATGAGTCAGAAAGTTAACAAAATATTATGGATAAAATTGGCTTGAATTCCTCGCTTACAACAAATTTTGTCATATAATAATCTTTTATTACTAGAAATATTAATTTTTTACAACTACACAACTACAATAATTTTGATGCTTATTGGCACATGCACCAGAACGAATACAACAACATTAGCAACATTAGTTACAAAAAAAAAAAAAAAAAAAAAAGAAATGAGATTATAAATTAAAGATAATAACTATTTTTAATTAAAATCTTCTACAAAACTAATTGAAATTTTTAATTATTTTTATTTTTTTTCTTTTTTTTTCATGCTCGATTTTTAAATGTTGCACCAAAAATTCATTTTTGTATTGCACATACTTTATTATTTTTGCCTCATAATGCACCAACTATTTTCCTTATGCACCTGCACTACAATATCGCCTACACGAACAACAACAACAACAACAACAACAACAACATTAATAATAATAATAATATAAAGCACTCTGCGTCTGAGCAAGTATATAACATTGTATTGCCAGCAGCATCAACAACACCAACAACAGCAACAACAACAATAATAATAACAAACATTGAGGACAATACTGACAACTTAAATGCTGAATTTGTTGCAGACAATACACTTGAAGAGGAACATAAAAACGGAAACGGAAACATTGAAGCGGAAACCAATAAGTCTGACAACGACAGCGACAATACTAGCGAAAGCAACAACAGCAACAACAACAACAACAATAACAGCAAAATGAATTTCTATGATGAAAATGCTTTAGTTGGGCAACAATTGCATGAAATCGCAGCCAACAGTAGCAGCTTTACAATTGAAAATAATGAGGAAACGGAAGTGAATGACAACTTTAATGAGTCATCAGTTGAAGGCATTGAGACGACTGCAACAGAAGTTGCAACTAAAGAGCTAACAGAAGACTTAGGCGAATTAAATTTGAACGCTGATAGTGTGCATGAATTCAATGAGGAGTCACAGAATAAAAATGTTGAAGATTTTAGCAGCAATGAAGATGAACATGAAGATGAAGATGAAGATGAAGATGCAGTTGACAATGGCGATAGCGAGAGCGATAGCGATGATGATGACAATGAATTTACCGCCACCTCAAGCATTACAAAACGGCAACAGCAAAAACATTCAAATTATGTGACCAAGAAGGAACGCGAAGATCTTTCATCATCGGATGATGATGAGGAGGCAATTGAAATGAGTGCAGAATTCAATTCGGAATGGGCAAATCTGGCTGAAGACTTAGCAAATGCCAATGACAAAAATAACGACTTAAGTAATGACATCGATGAGTATGCACCAGTGCCGGTCGATTTGTCAAATGACATTGCTGTTAATGATATTGCCGCAGCTCAAGTCGGCTATCCACTTAATCCAGATGCTGAATTTATTGATGTCAATGGTGTGTTAGCGAATCATTCGATGCCCAAGTTCGAGAAATTGACAATTGCTATAACTCCAACACATAATCAGGAAGGAACAGAAACTGAAGACATGAAATGAATTCAACCGAAGTCAAGTGAAGTGAAGTGATGTAGTCAACTAAGCCAAATCAAAAATATGCATTAAATTTATACATTTTACATATGTATGCAAATGTATACTAGAAAATTATTTCATATATATATATTCACAAAGTTCTTATATTCACATACAAAAGGTTCTACCTAACTAGCTCAAATACATGAACGTCTATGTTCAATTGAAACATCCTTTAAGTTATATATATATGCGGAAGACAATTGAACTACCGATTTTAGCTATGCTATTAAGCTATTAAGAATAAAAAACACAATATTTAACAAAGTCACGTGCTCGATTAGTGACTTTCAAACTGTTAAGAAAAAATTAGTTTTATAATTTTATTTATTATTATTAAATTAAAACACATCATATACATATTTTATTCTTTTTAATTTAAATTTTGTTAAATTTTGTTATTAAGAGTACTCGCATCTAAACTGATAAATGCGTTATAAACATTATTAACGTATAAATTTATCTTCTTTATAAGTTAAGTGGTGAATTTTGTATGAAAAATCGTTCACAAATTTGATAAATTTACATGAAAATTTATCGTATAAATTTATCGCATAGATTTAAATGTTGTCAATACAGAGTTACATTTCAACGCAATCAAGTCATTTACAAAACTATCTTTGCAAAGATTTTTTAGTTTGGACCTTTCACTAAATTTCAGCATTTTATTTTATTATTTATTGATAGCAACACAGTTGATCGATAAAGTTTACGTAAATAATTAATATTGCATCGATATTAGCTAAACGTTTGCGCTGCTGAGCACTACATATTGCGCCATCATAATTATTGCTGATATAAATAGTGCTATCATAAAGCAGATTTATTAATTTGCACAAATATGTGACTAAGTGCATTCATTTAACTCTGTACGTAGACGCATAAAAGTATACATTTGATAAATTTATATGCTTAGATACCTTAGTACCCCTATTATGTTTGACTAAAAAAATTGTTTAAATAAGTTTATCATTCTAAAGTATTATCTTATATGACTGTCAGGAACACAATAATATAATTAAACAAATTGAAATTATGTCGAATATGCGAAAGATACTCATATTTCTTTGATCAAATATTATGCATACTTATACTTATATATTTAATTTATTGCCAATAATTTTCTTTAAAATAAAAATATAAATGAATTTATTTATAGAACATTTTGGTTTTATTTTCTCAATTTTGTAGTTGCCACACTACTATAAATAAAGAGTTAAATTCGTCAAAGTACACTCAAAGTTCCATAACTCAAACTTCTCCCATGCAAAACAAAATAAAGGTATTTCCTGCTCTAGATGTCTCTACCTGTTCTTGCATCGTCGTAGATTCAGTTAGCCGTCATGCAGTTTCTAATTTTTTGAAATATTTTCACAAAAGTGAGGGTATAACTGACCCGTAAACTTAGGCGTGGGACACTAATTTAATTACTTCGTTGTTTTAATTTTATATTTAGATACATTATTAATGCAGTGAATGCCAATCGACACGGAGTAGAGTAGTTGTCTTGGATGTCCTTGCTGTTGATCCGATTGTTGTACCGATTTTGTTCTCTTCTGGCCTGTTATTAAAGAAGATCGTATTGAGATATATTTTGTGTAACTATTTCTAAATATCGAAATATTCTTCTTTTTTTTATGCCTTCGGTTGAATATTTCCTTAAGTGAAAATATTATTTTATATTTTACTTCGAAGTATATCGGCTACAGTAGACGTTCTACAGCCAGTTGTAACAATAAAATTTCTGATTATATGCCTTTGGTTGAATAGATCCTTATAGAAAAATATTCATTCAGATTTACATAAAATTATTTCGCTTACAGTAGCCGTACTACCGATCCGATACTGCCGATCACAACGATATAATTTTAAATGTAAGTTATTCCTTCGTTTGTGATATTATTTCTTTATAAAAAAATTTTTTATTTGCAGCTAGCGCTAATTTGGACTTGTGTTCTCTAGATGCTTATGCTTTAGTGATTATTTTTCAAGTCCCTATCTGAACAAAAATGTTCCTTAATTTCGTTCTAACCTTAAAACTGAATTTTGTATGGAAAAAGCAACTTACATAATTTCGCTGAAACGAAGATGAAATTAAGATTTTTGCGGAATAAAGTAGTGTCTGAACACACTATTACGGCGAATATTTTGGCAATTCTAGTCTTACGTTCCTATTCTTTCCCTATTCTGCAGTCTTTCCCTATTCTGCAGTCTTTCCCTACTCTGCTGCTTTATTTTAATTCTTGTGAAACGTGTTTAAATGATAAAATAATATATATACTTTTTTTCTTAATAAATTAATAAAGTAATTTATATTTATGAAACTGGAAGTGATGCAGAAAGAAGGTTTGTATATATTACTTCGATCACTTCGATATATTACAACTGCCTGGAATGGTTTGGGTTTTGGTAAGTTGTTTAGGTAGAATAAATATTTTAAATATTAATTTATCTATTTTAATTCCAGGTTGTTTTTACCAGTATGTGTTCTTTTCGTAATTTTAATATATATACCTGAAAAGATGTGATGTTTTATAAAAAGTCTGTTGTGTTTGCATGTTTAGTAAAAATTTCCATCCTTATACCAACATGATTTTTAAATCCATTAAAGTAGAAGAACCATTTAGATGTCAATTATCAAGTATTTAATAAATATAAAAACTGGGGCACGATATTAGTTATATGATGGAACAGCCTTGGAGGTAGAAAGTGTATATTACTGCATATTTTTCTGGAGTGCAGTTTTTTTAAGAATAGCAAAAGTAGATCTCCTCATACGAGATTTCTTTTTTTTCATAGACTGAGACTAGACTCCCATGCAAAACTTATATCAAGCTTTGATTAATACATCTTTATATTAATTAATGAACTCAATTTTATTTGATCTTACATTAAAATTCAGTACAATGTAATATTTCAATATTTAAACTAACATGTTTCTTAGTTACTTATAATTTTTAGAATTACATCCGTTTTTAAAAAACGTCTTGAAACATTTTCGCCTTAAAAAGCCATACCATTGCAGCGTAAAAACTATTACTAATTTAAAAAATTTGTCATAAAATAATTTTATAAATGGCATTCTTCATTCAAATAAAAATGTTGCACAGTCGTTTGTTGAGATTAATTTTCTTATATTGAAATTCAGGAACGCAGTCCGCATACTTTAATTTTGATATCCAAATAGATTAAAATTTTTGAATGAGAAGTGACGTCACTTACTTAGATTCATCTAATTGTTCTTAAAAAGTATAAAATATACATTAGTTAAATATTGAATGGAAAGTACTAAAAATTATTTACGCATATGTGTTATTTACATATATCCAAGAAAAGTAGTCCATGTTTTAATAAAACAATAGTTAATTGCCATAGAGTTTGCTCAAAAAAAAAATTTTCAAACCAGAAACTGGTTACCTTGTGAATCGAGTTATAAGCTCTCTCTAACAAGACAAGTTACTCTAAACTCCAGGTATATTACGCATGTGATAGAACAATATGTCCAAGCACCATATAGCAGATATGCTATTACAACATCCAATCGTACTGCTGCGACGTCACAACATAAATACTTTTCAAATGTCTCCGTTTCTGGATAGCAGATATGCTATGCTGGTGTGACCGCAGATTGGCAGATTAGTAGTAAATGCATATGTTGTACGGTACATTCTGGGAGGCTTAAACATATATCTTCCTTCTCAGATTGTATATCATCTTGGCGTCGTAAAGTGATTGGGGTGTTCGAAACGAAGCAAACAATTTTCTGCAAACCTTGGATGTTATTCCAGACATCGAATTTGAATTTGAAGCCAAAAATATCTAACATATGTTGTATATATTGACGACTGTGCTGTTTTTGTCGAAAATATTTTAAATCCTAATTCTTCACGTTCCAAACAGTACGATATAAACTCTATTGATCTTATGGTGGTATCGTGGACAGGTAACGGGGAAATTTAGAGCTTCGTTGGAAATTTCGCGAATGATATTACATATACATTACATATTCATATATATGTTTGAGATGTATATTGCCTTCAATTATTAAAAGTTGTCAAGTTGTCCACTATCCATTAATTTAGGTAATTTTTGTTTTGGAAAGAAAGTGTGTGTGTTGACCTCGGCTTTGTTTTTAAATTTATTAATGATTGCAATGCAGGTTTAAAGGTGGAAATTTTTAAGTTTGTTTGAGGTCAATTTTTGCTCCTCGTGCTTTAGTGGACGAGAATCTTTTAACACGCAATCATTAAATTTTCAAGTTATTTACTGTAGAACAGAAGGTTGTATATTAAAATTAATAAATATATAGGTAGGAATATCTAATTGTGTTGTAATAACATATATAAATATTTAAATGAAAGGGAACATATATAATACTAAATATTTATAATTTTAAATATTATATATATTATAACTTTTATCATAGATAATGTATATCATAGACTTACTTGAGAATTAATGAAGCTGATAGAGGAACTTTTATTCCTATACTCAACTTCATCAGGGCCTATTGGCTTTGAATTGTCTGAGACAGAATCGTATTGTGAATTAGAACGAGTCCGATTATTATTGTTATTATTTGCATAGCGAGAACGTTGTTTGGACCCATTATAGTCGGTATGGTAGTTGTTGCCTCCGTTATATTGACCTTGAGAGCTGTAACCTTGTTGAGATTGACCACAGAAACGATTTTGACCAACGTTCCTATTTTGTTGTCCATAGCCACGATTTTGCAACTGGTTATTACCGTTATTACGAGAGTTTTGTTCGTATCGCGACTGATTATAATTACTGCCGCTACTTTCATATTGACGTGAGCTGCTTGGCTGATGATTATACAAATTCTTATTAATTTGTTCACCATAAGTTCTACCATATTGGGAATTGGTTCGATTTCCGGTACTTTGCTGCAGACCGCCACTGTTGCGTCCAGTGCAATTATTATTTCCGTAATTATACGAATTACGATTATTACTGCCACTTTCACGGGTACGGCCACTAAATGGATTTTTATATTGATTATTGGGCTGCTCTGTTGGACTTGCACATATTGCTTTGATTTCACTAGAAGAGTCTTTATTGTCACCTGCGCCGCGATTAGAAAAGTATCGATTGTTTTGTGAATAATTTGGATAACGTGGTGCCTGTGTAGTATTGTTCGAAATACTATTATAATTGTAGGGACGCCTATCATTAGAAGGTGCTGGGAAGCGATTATTGTTTAATGGTAAAGATTTCATCATATTTCCTTGAGAATTACCACAATTACTAAAACTTGGTCTGGTCTGATATCCACTGTAAGATGTACGATTTGAAGACGAACCAACATTAAAATTCTTCCCGTCATTGAAGTTATTGTGTTGAGTATTACTTTCGTATTGTTCCGTTGATACATTGGAATCATCCAAACTGGTCACACTGTCATTAGCATCATTTCCATCAATGGATTTATCATCTCCCCAACACTTGCTAGGAAACACTACCGCCTCAGGATTCAGTTGACTGTCTTTACACACATTTTCAGATTCACTTCCTACCACAGATCGTTCTATATTTATAGTGTGCACTGCTCCTGATTTAGTTGCCAAATAAGTTTGCTGCAAATTGATACTTATTTGGGCATCAACGCGCTTGATAACGGGATCATCAGCGGCTTCATCTCCTACACGTTCGGCATTTGGCTGAGCTATAAAATAAAAAATAGCATTTATAATTTTATAATAATAATTATGCAAAATATTATTGAGTTAACAAAACACGTACTGTTGTCTCCATTGCATATTTTCTGAACCGATGGTTTACGCTGCGGGAGAGAGTGTTGTAATTTTGTATTGTAACCGTATTGCTGGCTAGGTGTAATGCTCTTATCGGTAGGGTAATTAACGATATCACGCGATTGACTCAAACCCATGTTGCGTTCAGGCTTACGTTGTGCAAAGGCAACATATAGTGGTTTTGTACCAACCATACGTCCATTTAATGTAAATGAAGCTCTGTTCGCAGACGTTGGAGATTCATATGCCACAAACCCGTATCCTTTGGAAACTCCAACTTCATTGACAATAACTTTGAGGGAAGTGATCTTACCATATGGAGAGAACAGATCATACATATAATTCTCATCAACTGACTCATCTAAATTTTTAACATATAGGTTGTTCTTTTCATACTCGCGCTTGTACTTAAGAACATGCATTCGCTCTGCCTTCTTTAATGCTTTGGCAACATAGAGGACACGACCGGGTGATATTTTTATACCATGCATTTGAGCAACAGCACTAGCTGCAGAGTCTGGAGATAAGAAACAAACAAAACCAAAGCCTTTAGAGTTTCCCTCTTCATCAGTCATGATTTTGCTATTTTTTATTTCGCCGAATCGATCAAACATTTTTTTTAATTGATCAGATGTGAGTTCAAAACCAAAATTTTTGATGTAAATATTTGTAAAAGAACGCGGATCAAAACGTCCGGTGGATGTTGTTGGAAGAAGGGACGACATATTTTGGTCCTAAATTGAAGAATCTATGAAAAATGTGTTGACATCGATTATGTGTAATATATATGTATATGTATGTGTGTATGCATATTCAGAATATATGTACTGAGTATTTTCTTGTTAAGTGTTATATATATAAAAGCTAATTTCATGGGTCAAGATATAAACAATTTGAGAGGGCAATGGGTCGCCCGTCTATTGAGTGTTTAACGAAGGGAACGAAAATTTTGCAAAAAAAATTTTTTTTCACGGTCAGCTGTATGAGCTATATCGCGACATTGATAGACTTAAGCGCAGAAAAACTCAGCGGCTTGGAACGCTTGGTCATGTCGACCAAATTGAAGAAAATAATCCTGCAATAAAGGTCTTTGATTCGGTACCTGCTGGTGGAAAATGCAGTAGAGGACGTCGCCATCTTCGGTGAAACGACCAGATGAACAGCGATATTAAGGTAATCGGTACTACCAACTATCGACTGACTAACCATGCTGGTTGACGAAGGCTACTGGACGTAGCCAAGGACGACTTATGTCTGCAAAGCCAAGTAAGTAAATGATTGATAATAACCAAAGGTTTTTATTTTTATGGCTATATGTCAACAAACTAAGTTGTCGTATATGGAGCAGTTGGGCAGTAGAAGTTCACAAGTAAATATGGAAAATAGAAATACATACGTAGATCTTAGATCAGTCATTGAATAATTACGAAGATTATGAGGAATACTCAAATTAGTCTGTGAGATAGATGGGACGCTGCAGAAACTCCCCAGCTATCAAAGAGTGAATGTGCCCTGATCTACTAACCCGGAAAAGGCTCAAAATTACATTACATTACAAAGAACTTTAAGAGCTAGTTGTTATATCCGATCGAGACACTTTAAATTTTTTTAAGGAAATGCTACAAATTTGTTTAAAATTGCTAATTGTAAGTATTCTGTTTAGAGTGTTAAATTTTGCCTACCTGCAATGAAGTTGATGTATCCAGTTTTGTTTTATTTTGCATCCTAAAACAAGGGAATATAGTTTATTATATTATATGATAAAAAATACGAAGTGTTTCCTAAACATCCCTCCTTCACTTCCACACTGATTCCTTAGTCCAAGCAACACAAATAAACTTAGGAGGTATACAGAGCTATACAGAGGGTTTTAGAGAAACATAAAAACAAGTCCTTTAAAAAGTTCCGCGATTTTAATCTATCAAATGCTTTTAATTTTGCTGATTCGGATATTATGATGACTAATATTATGATCGATAAAAACCTTATAAACTTTTAATTTTTAAACTTTTTTGTGGAATATATGATATCATATATGACTGACATATATGATTTCAAGAAATTGTTTTTGAGATATTGAGTATTTTTTAACGAATTTTATTTTCAGGTAGTCGTTGACTAAGGAATCATACCCTGTCATGAAGGTATTGAATTAGGAAACGTCCTGTATTTAATCCTTACCACGTTTTCAGTTCTTAATAAATTATCGCCGTAACTCTACGGCCTTGCGTTCTTAAATTAAGATATAAATGAAGATTGCTATCTGTTAAGAATTATGAGAAGTTTTGTTTATATTATATATTAACGTATATATATAACGTATATATTAGTTTTATTTGACACTAAGAGTAACTAAATTTTTATATTAACAATTAAAATAAATTAAAGGAACGTCAAATCACGTCGAATACATACCTGCCAAACGCTTATATTTGCTATATGTTTTGGCTTACGCTCTAAGAATTCGTATGGACTCGCGCTCTGCAATTTTCAAAGGAATTCTTAAATAGAAAAATCAATGATCATTTTTATTATAAATAAAGATTGTTCACTTAATATTAATAAAATAAAATTCTGCTGATAAGTGTACCGCTATATTCGATGATGTAGTCGATCAATCCCTCTAAATGTATAACTCAAACATACACTGAAACACCAAAATACATCCATGGCATTACTTCTGAGTTTGAGAATCATAAAAACACTCTTAAAACCATTTTATAAACTTTTATACAAAACATAATCAAAAATTTTCTAAGTTTCACTGTTTGACTCCCCTATCCAAGTTTGTGGCTACTCTTATGCCTACTAAATGTGTTAAAATCTTCAACAAAAGACATTCTTGCCATTGTTATACAATGACAATATAGTAGTAATGGAGAAAGGTGAACTGAATATTCAGGCAGATACGAAATAAAGCTGATTTTATATCGATCTCAGTATGAACCGCGTACCAGTATCAGTGCTAGTTATGGTCACGTCAAATGTGAAATTGTTTGGTCTTCAATATAAGTTAAAAAGTGAGAGAAAGAGAGAAAATTCGATTAGATGTGGTCAAAATAGTGTCGTTCGGTAGTGGGTGTCAGAACTGGATATCCACTACCGAATGCTACTAAAGGTGTTTATCCATTCGTCATACTATCTGCATAACATAACTCTAAATACTTAGAAAAGTTAGAAATAGAATTGTTCAGTACTCACCTGGAAGTAAACCAAGGTTAAACCTTTTTTGAGTCTTATTTAAAATTTGCACTTCTGTATAGACTTTTATCTAAAAAAAATTAAATTTAAAATATTTTATAACATTTTATAAGAATCACCTATCAGATTTTATATCCATATGAATTGCTTAAATCAGTTGAAGAATTTTTGAAACCTATTTACATGCAGAACTCAAACAGAAATAATTTTTTTTTATACAAATATGTCAATTGTTTGAAGAAATTTGACATTTAGATTCAAATAAAAAAAATGTTGCCTGATTAAAAAAATCATGCATTCCATTTATCCATAATTTTTATCAACATTTAGATAAGGACCACGTTATGAAATATGTCATATAACGAATGATCACGGAATGACGAATATCAATTTCGTACTTACACTACTAGTTTGGCACTTTTTTGTGTACATAATATGGTTCTAACATATCAAGAAATTTAGGCTGGTAATACTGACTTCAAGCCATGCATCAAGACTAATAAATAACGTACACATACAATAAAAAAAATTAATGTGAAATTTTCTACCACAAAAAAAGTTATTGGCACCTTCGCTTAGTGGCCAAAATGTTTTTACTTTATTTTTGTGGTGTACATATATAATATATAATTATTATGTTTCTTATTTTGCGAAATTCACGAAATAAATTTAAAATTCTTTGATATAATTGAACAAATTTAAAGAAACAGCCCCACTTCAATATATCTCCAAATATATTTTATTACTACAAACCTGATCAATCTTGAAAGCAAGACCCATATATATAACAGAGTTAATCAGAAAAGCTGCATAAAACACCGCAAACACAGATCCGGCTAAAACAGTTCAACTTAATTGATCTACCGACATTTAAGAATATTAAAGACTTGTAGTTGAAGACATCGCCACTCTTTCATGAAGTATTACCAAATAAAAAAAAATCACTACGAATGTTCTGTTGTGATATCTACAAATTCGACCGGTATTCCAATTAAAAAAATAATTAATTATTATAGAAAACGTACTCACGAACAAGTTCTTATGTGTTTTCCTTCTCAATGCTTAATCGGTTATATGTGTTTTTCATAACCACAATTAGATACTTAGATGTTTAGATATTCTTTGAATACAACAACCGCACAGAAGTAATGTTTTACTAAACTGAATTCAAAAGAAATAAATGACAGCTTGATATTATGTTAATATATTACGAAACGTAAAAAGTAAAAGATTGCTTAGATGAAAAAAATTTTCATTCAAGTTAGAATAAGGGGGCAAATTCAATGGACATGCGTCCATGAAATAATGTCTTCACACTAGTACCCGAGATCTTGTCCATAATAAGAATCCAAATAAAAGATTTAAATGTGGAGGTAAGGAGCTTATGCATATAATCGTGAAATTGAAATTTTTATGTATGTTGTCATAAATAACTCTTTTCTTAGGGATAACTTGACCTATTCTTCCAAAATGCAAACAAAATATTACGAGTACTTATCGTAGTGTGAACACATATCAATCGAAATGACGATAAATGCAAGTGAGCTCACATGAGTGCTAGTGTGAAAAGCATTATAAAAGAGAAAACTCATCGAACTCCAAATGATTGATACTTAATTTTATAATTTTATTTGAATTAACTACACAAAGATAGGAACATTGAATTTTTATGATTTATACTATTAACTATAGGTATCGCTACCGAAATTCCTTTAACAGTGAATTTTATTTGTACATTAGTTGTGAATTTGCGTATATATGTAACGTTCTAAACATATAACGAAAAAAATTGATGTTCAGCGAATACCCAATATAACGCATCCTCTAAATATCGAACGATTTTTATTTATTATATTTAAAACGAGCATAGTTTATTCTTAACAACGACCACACTCAAAAATGTCTCTTCTCATAACAAAGCTACACATAAAATATCTATTTTCATCTATATATTTCATCGATATGTGAATTAATGTGTTGAATTGTGGGAGATTTATCTGCTACTATGAGAGAGAAAAAGAGAGAGAGTAGGGATGGAAGAAGGATATATAGAGGAAGAGAGAGTAGAGAGAAAGGAAAAGGGAAAAAAAAGAAAGAGAGAAAGGGAGAGAGATAGAGAGAAAAAGATGAGAAGAGAGAGATAAAGAGAGAGAAATAACGAGAAAAATAAAGAGAGTGAGAATGAGAGTTAGAAAAAATGAGAGAGTTAGAGATAGAAGGAGAAAGAGAACGAAAAGTAGAGCTTAGACTTCAGAGTGAGGCCAATTTTGTGACGCCAACGTTGTAGGGGTTAACTGAGGGAACAAGATAGAGAAAGAGAGAAAGGAAGAGGGAGAGAGAAGAATAAAACATAGAAGAAAAGAGAGAAAGAAAGACATAAAGAAAGAGAAAGAAAGACAGCGAAAAAGACAGCTTAGACTCTAGAGTGTGTAGTATAAAAGTAATTTTTTTTAATCTAGTTTAAAAGAATACTTTCGCCGATTGGAGAAGATTCAACACATGGCACTCTTCCTAACAAAACCAAGCGAGCGAATTACTGTGTCGGTCGCGAATGTTTTGTAAGTCTGTGAGGATATAACTTTTATAAGAAAGTATGGATCTGCTATCGATGTTGATTACAGGGCAGGAAGATTTGTTGATGGAAACACACTCAAACTCCAACGAATCTTCCACGAAAACGACGATTATGTTCACTGTAGTCTCCTCATAGTACACGAAATATACCTAATACAAACATCAGATTAACCACTTGATCCCTTGAATACTTTTATTTTGCGTATGTCACTTCACTGACACAATTTTACGAAATAAAGATCACGAAATAGATTATCCATTTATTATGTGACATCCAGTTAAATTCAATTTTTAAATGTTCGAGATATTGGACGGATATCGCTTAGGACTGGAAAATGTTCTTTTGGAAGGCTGTATGGTGCCTTGCATGAGAAGGAGTTAAATTGATTCCGTATGGTCGTTGTCACTTACGTCTTTCTCCAACAGTCCAACCTTAAGTTAGAATCTCCAATGACTCACTCAAGTTGAAAACGAAGATTGAACTGACTAATTTACTTGGTAAATTAATGAAGAAAATTCGATAAACAGAGCGAAGCCTAAAGACGCTTTATTTTAATGTGTACAATTAATCTCCTGGATGTTCGACAAAAAATCCATACCCATAACTAAAACTACCACTACATATTGACACTATGAACTATGCCGATTTTTGCAAAATTTGACTTACGTGCGATTGTGGTTAAATTAAGCCACTGCTGTCAACCAAAAAATTTAATATCGTATTACCATCGATCATATGAAGGTTTAAATTTGGAAAGATAAAGCTGTGGCTGCGTTTTTGAGTACCGCTCTGTAGGGCATTTGTAAGCTAGAAATTTGTAGGAAAGGTTGAATCCTCAGCTTTATACTATAACTATCACAGCCATAAATACATTTGCCAGCAACAAATTGGTCCTTAACTTCAGTTTATAGCAGAATTTCATATGGAACTTCAACATATCCAGTGTCAGCAATACAGTAATACTAAATGCAGACTGTTTAGTGCATTATAATTTAATGCCCGATATCAAAGTAAGACTTATTAAGTAAGATTTGTTTAGTATTAGGTTTCAACGCAGATTCAAAGAATTGTCCAAAAGTCTACAAGTGCAACAACTTAAGGAATCCGAATTTCTACGACCTTTTGGAGAGATCGTAATTTAGTCACAGTATAATATGTAATTGCCATCCAATATAACAGAATACCCATCAAATGGGAAGCTAAGATCAGGCAAAGATGATCCACACCATTATGGTATCAGGGAATCTTTTGTCACTTTGATAGTCTTTGGTCGATACCAGTGCAACATAAGTAGTTGGAAAGTCTCAAGGGATTTTCCAAGATTTTATAGCAAAAAACTGCAGCGAGTCATAATTTTAACACTCAGAGTACACTCATAATAAACCAAATCTAAATACGTATCAATATTTTTCTCACACTACTTATATGCATTCATATTCGGCACAGAAATCATTCATAAGTATATTGGTTAAAGAAGGCCGGTGCTAAAAAATCAGCTTTCAAAGATTGCGTACACATTTGTAAGTAGAGAAGCGTATGAATTATCATATACAATGATTCATGAATCATAGCATATACTCAGGTGAGTATGAATATATTCATCGAAAATGAATGACTCGAATGACTTGTAGCATTCGTAAAAATGTTATGTGAGTGTTGTTGCTTGCTAAGCAAAAAATTTGTCTGTTTTAGGCGTATGTTGTTGTTGTTGTTGCTTTGTAAAAGTATGTGTTTTGTTTGGGTTCTGAAATATTATGTGTGCATTAAATTAGAGGTTGTTTTAGACGCCATATTCAGAAAGATATAATTTGTTTTCTACTATTTGGACGCCATGCCGATTTTTGCCATGCGGAACTTCTCAACGGCACAAGAAACACTGTGAAGTGGTTTTTAAGAAGTTAAGGGAAGCTGCCTTAACTCGAATCTAGTCACAAGCAAGTTCGTTTCAGAAATGATTTCATTTCATTTCGTGTTTACAAATATCAGCAAATGCTATGTCCTCAGATAAGTATGACTAAACTTTTATAGAGATTCCGAAACCTAAAACTGATCATTGAGAAGGAGATTTAGGTGCACATTAATTGAAATGAACATGTAAACAATCGAAATGAAACAATTAGGAAATTTCCTTATTTTGCGAAATTCACGATTTTACATGATTGGAAAGCACAAAATATGAAATAAATTTAAAATTCTTTGATATAATTGAACATAATTAAAGAAACAGCCCCACTTCAATATATCTCCAAATATATTTTATTACTACAAACCTGATCAATCTTGAAAGCAAAACCCATACATATAACAAAGTTAATCAGAAAAACTGCATAAAACACCTTAAACACAGATCCGTCTAAAACAGTTCAACTTAATTGATCTACTGACATTAAAGAATATTAAAGACTTGTAGTTGAAGACATCGCCACTCTTTCATGAAGTATTACCAAATAAAAAAAATCACTACGAATGTTCTGTTGTGATATCTACAAATTCGACCGGTATTCCAATTAAAAAAATAATTAATTATTATAGAAAACGTACTCACGAACAAGTTCTTATGTGTTTTCCTTCTCAATGCTTAATCGGTTATATGTGTTTTTCATAACCACAATTAGATACTTAGATGTTTAGATATTCTTTGAATACAACAACCGCACAGAAGTAATGTTTTACTAAACTGAAGTCAAAAGAAATAAATGACAGCTTGATATTATGTTAATATATTACGAAACGTAAAAAGTAAAAGATTGCTTAGATGAAAAAAATTTTCATTCAAGTTAGAATAAGGGGGCAAATTCAATGGACATGCGTCCATGAAATAATGTCTTCACACTAGTACCCGAGATCTTGTCCATAATAAGAATCCAAATAAAAGATTTAAATGTGGAGGTAAGGAGCTTATGCATATAATCGTGAAATTGAAATTTTTATGTATGTTGTCATAAATAACTCTTTTCTTAGGGCCATGTTATGCAGAGTGTCTCGGGCACGGCATGAGTACAATTGTTTTTGTTTTCAATGCAAATTTTAAATTTGAGAGTGAGAGAAAAAACAATATGGCCGTTCAAACTCCGGCATGAGAGCCGGCGTATTTGTGCCCTTAGAGATAACTTGACCTATTCTTCCAAAATGCAAACAAAATATTACGAGTACTTATCGTAGTGTGAACACTTATCAATAAAAATGAAATTTTGAAAAATTAAAAAAAAGCACTGAAAATAGAAAATAAAATCTACATAGGACAACTGATAAGATAAACACTGCTTTTGAAGGATAATTATAACGAGATCTCTTAGATTTAATAGATCAAATCTATTGAATTTATGAACGAAAATAACGATTAAATTAATATAATTAAATATCATTTAATCTTGTTATTTAAGTGGTCAGAACTAAATAACAATTGGATGATGTTGAGCCTTTTCCGAGTTCGTCCATCTGGTCACTTTTACCCATTGATAACTGGAGGGGTTTCTGCAGAGTCCCACCCATCTCAACAGAAGTAATTGAAAAATTGGATAAAGTCAAATTTTGAAAAATTAATCAAACACAATTGTAGTCTTTCCATCATAAAAATAATTATTATTCTTCAGAGTAGGATTTTGCTACAAAAGACAATTAGCATGTATCTCTAGAACTATACTTAGGGTAAACAATAAGAAATTTCAGCGTTGAAAGTATTCGGAATTGCTGATTTAAAGATTTAATGAGAAGCTAAAATAGCCCGCGGTGCTATCATATGTAGCACATTTAACTATAGACACACCAAACGATATGTATGCCCATGACGGTAATATGATAGCACTTATTAATTTTGAAGTGATTGTCCAACATGTATTTATTAAAAAATTGAAATGCAAGCTTCGAAAAAAAGATTATGAAACATAAATTTTAAATATATTTATGAAAAGTTATTTAATATATTTAAATGAACTTACGCTGTTCCGTATTTCTTAACTAAAAAGTATCTGATAACCTTAACTTTAGTGCAGCAAATAGTTATATTCACAATTTATTTAAAATTTTTTTTATATTTATTGACTAGTTAATAATTTCATAGGTCACTCATTTAAAATTGAATTTTAATTTTAGAAAAATTTTTATAACGAAAAATACTTTAATAATACAAATATTTCTAATTGATTTCTGCGGGATTAAGACTCGATATATGTAGCTGAATTATGTTCAGATTTAAAGAATAAAAACATTTTTAATATATAATAGTCGCGGGTGAATTATATAGAAAACAAGAAGATGAACAATTGAATATGGTTCCGCAACGATTCAGATAGCACGGGCTAGTCAATATTAGCTGAGAGTCTTAGAAGCTTACTTTGAAAGTTTTTTCTGTCGTACTGAAGAGATAGAAGGAGAAGGTGTCGTACTGGCGAAGGTGAACACTAATAGTTACCAGAGTATACATGTGTACAATAAAATCTTTCTTGGTTGTTGGGTAAGAATCTTCGCAGATTTACATTTGTGCAGTGTGTGACACGTTTTTTGACCGTTTACGACCCATAGTTCGCAATAAGGGTGGAGGAATAGAAAATTCAAAATGATAGTATGAAATGCAAACTGTCACGAGAAAGCCATCGGCTCTAATTCAATTAACAGATTAAAGAGGTGTCAGCTGACCTCCTAATCATCTATGAAAACGATTCCAGATTAAAGAATTTTGAAAATTTTTCATTGGTATCACTTAAAGTATAAATCCATTTATCTGCATTGTTAAAAAAGTCATGTAATTTCTCTCTGGAATGATATATATCATTAGATATCCCCAATGAAATATCTATAACTACATTTTATCATATACCTAAGTAATTCTATATTATTTATGAGTGATTACGCCAATGAAACGTTGCGGTAAATTTCGAAACTCCTATGAAAATGTGTGGGCGTTAGCACTTTTTTTCTATTAAAAAAAAAATAGAGAAAAAATGTAGAGTCTACTGGAAACTGATAATTATCACATCGAGGAATAATCATTTTTGAAAAAAATGTACTTTCTCGTACATATGTATAGTTTTTTAGTGAATAATTTATAAACATTTTGCAAACTGGCACTAACACAGCATTATCCAAAAGTAATTGCAATCAAAATATTTGAATAAATCACTTGTGGCATATGATTTGCAATAGAGACGCAGAAAAAACGGAAAAAGTTGAAAAATTAAAAATATTTATGAGGGAAAAAGCACAATGGAATACGCAAGTACGCAAAAAACGCAACATATAATTAACTTGACAGGAAGTTAACCATAATTAATTACCATCAATTCATATAAAATTCATTTTCGCTGGCTTGTGAATTATTAACAACAAAAAATAAGGACAAAAGTAATACAATCTGCACCAAAAAAAATATTAAAAATGTATTTAAACCGCACATAATTCGACTTAATTAAAATTTAACCAAAAAATTATAATAAAATATTTACAATGCAAATTTTACAGGGCCTAACCACGCCTACCGAATCATTTAAAATATGCCCACAAATGCACAAAAATTAAAATAAATTAAAAAAAATTTGCAATTTGAAAAATTATAGAAGTTCCAGGACGAGACATTCAACAAACATCAAACAAAGGTTCATCCTGCTATATCAAAACTGCTATAACGTGACTGAATAATCACGAAATGAGAGATACGAATGGTGCTGATTAATCAATGTCACATAACTAGTTTTCGCTTTTCTATATAATGTTTCCAACCAGCTCTGTAAGGGCCATGTTATGTAGAGTGTCACGGACATGGTAACATTGGCTCTTTCGGGCTATGACGAAAATGCATGTTATGTAGACTGTCACAACAGTATTGCCAATTTCGTATTTTTTACTAATATTTGGTACTTTTTAGTACTTTTTGGTTGTGCCTAAATTTAAAAGGAAATTTAGATATGCTCACTTTCAATTTGCCATCAAAAATAACCAGTAAGAGAAACTCATAGAGGCTGTAATAATGATAATTTATTGGAATATTATCTCTAATAATATTTGTTAACAGTACTTAGGAAATTATACGCCTGTCATTTTTTCTCCAAAAACAAATTGAAATTGGAGTAATTTGCTCCTAAAAAACGAAAATTCTGAAAATGATTACTAAACAACACTACTTTGCCTTAGTGCCGAGGCGCAAATACACCGGCTCTCATGCCGGATTTTGAACCGACATAATGTTTTTTCTCTCAATCTCGATTTTATAATTGCCCTTGAAAACAACTTAAAGACATTTTACTCAAAGACATTCTATATAGCATGACCCTAATGGTTGTTCGCAAGGTCTCCAACATACCTAACGAATTGAATCGTTAACGTTATCGAGAAATCCGTCAGTAGGTTGGGCTGTTATCGAGAAATTGGGCACTGATAGAGAAAAATTTGTGTGATTTCAAAATACATGGTCAGTTATTATTGGCTTTCATCCATTCCGATAAATGCAAAGTTCAACGATTTTGTATTCATTAATAGTGGATACAAAGGCTGAGTTCGGTTCGTATTTTGTATTGAACTGCCTAATGGAAGATGTAGCAATTGTCAGTAGCGTTTTTGCTGTTGTTGCCTTGTTGCTGTCGTCGAAGTTGCAATTGTTGCTGATATTATCTCAACCTCATCAGTGTTAAGTGCAACATGTCCATTCAGCAGCAAACTTTTAATGACTGCGGAGCAATGTGTCACGTCTCAGTTTGCACTTGACAAATGTTCATAACGATTCATATTCAATGCACATAAGTTTTTGCTGCATTTTATTAAAAGTAAAGCAATTTATTAAAAAACAAATTAATTTTTACGTCAATCATAAAAAGTCGTAAATTAATTATTACCTAACTAATTCTGTCTTTATCAGGTTGAAGGAAGATAGAGCATTTTCATCAAAAATATAATCACTTAATATTTAATGCTTAACGTACGCCTTGAGATTACTAGGTAATGAGATACCTAGTTATATATAGTTAATCGCAACCTAGAGTGCTATTCAAGCGACCGTATCTGTTTTTGTGTAAAATTATTTTTTATTAATTCAAATTACAAAAATTTGTGGAAATAAACAAAATTTCCGAATTCATGCACTCTAACTCGATGTGGCCATCAAACGGTTAAAAAATGAGTTGCATGCTTCACGAATGTGATCTCTCGTCTTCCGGTATTTTGGACTATTTAACCAGAGACTCAATGTCCATACCCTTGAGATAAAAAATTACGTCGGATGGCCATTCGTTGTGTCAAATTTTCCTCAGTCCGTTCAGTTAAGTAAATACGATCATTTTGAGAGTTCATGAACTGATCAATGGGGAAACTTTTCTCATCAGAGAACTCAGTGTTTGGAAATTTGCCACGTTCGTGTAAGTGTAATAACTCTTTGGCTCTTTTGATTCGAGCAACTTTATGTCGCTTAGGTGTAAGATCTTATGACTCTTTGAAATATGCATTGGACGTTTCGCTGGGAAATTATCAATTCTTTGGCTATTTGATTACCACTACGACTTGGATTTCGTTTAAGTCGAACCTTCACTTTTCGAGCCATTTTAGATGTTATTGCTGTTTTTTTTCGTACACCACCATAGCGTTTGGCGAATCTGCCTGTACTATTATAAAGATTTACGGTACGATACACAAACGCTTTATTCACTATGAGGTGTTTGAGTTCACTAACAATATCTGGTGTTTACGTTTGAA